GGAACACCAGAGTCTGTGGCCTGAACTTTAAACTGAAATGTTTTTAAATCCTCGTGGTTGAAACTCTGCAGACTGATTATATCTCCTGTCTCTGAGTTGATGTTTAGGATTGATGACAACGGAGTATTTTTTTGTGAACTGCCTAAGAGTTTGTATGTAACCTTTGCATTATTATCTAAGTCTGGATCTAATGCAGTTATTTTATGTATCACTGAGCCCAATGGACTGTTTTCTCTAACAAAAACAATTGTCACCGGCTCATTAAAACGAGGTGGGTTATCATTGACATCAGCCATGTGAACAGTAATGACCTGGATGCTGGACAGTGGAGGACTCCCTTCATCTGTAGCTGTAATATTAACATTGTAAACTGAAGTGTCTTCTCTGTCCAGAGGTCCATCTACCACTAATGAATAATCATTTTTGTAGTTGGACTTTAGTTTAAAGGGAACAGATCCAACTACTCTGCATTTAGTAACACCATTGTTCCCTCCATCTTTATCACTGACTGTAACTAAAGCAACAATCGTTCCAGGCTGTGCGTCCTCTCTCACCGGTGTCATCAGTGACGTCACAGATATTTCTGGAGCATTGTCATTCACATCAATCACCTCTATCAATAATTTAGCATATGTGCTTCGAGGAGTAGATCCCTGATCCTTTGCTTGAATTCTTATTTCATAAGCACGTGTTTCTTCATAATCTAGTTTTTCTTTCAGGTGTATTTCTCCCGTTTCTGAATTCAAATTAAAATATTTTGACGGATCCAGGTTCCCCGTTTTTATCAGGAAGAACAAGATCTTACTGTTCAGCCCCGCGTCCAGATCTGTTGCATTAATCCTCAAAATAAATGTTCCTGGATCAGCGTTTTCCTTGACCTGGACTTTATAAAGAGATTGACTGAATGCGGGTGTGTTATCATTAAAATCTAAAACATTAATAATTAGCTGTAAAGTCCCTGATCTCGATGGTTTACCTCCATCTACAGCAGTCAGAACAAGTTTTATTACTGCTTGTTTTTCTCTGTCTAAAGCTTTCTGCAGCACCAACTCAGCATACACTCCGTGTTCTCCTCCACTCTGAACATCAAGAGAGAAATGTTCATTTTGTGTCAGCTTGTAGCTCGTTACTGCGTTGGATCCAATGTCTGCATCTCCAGCTACAGGGAGTGGAAATCTTTCCCCTGGCGACAACAATTCTGAAATATTCAACACATGCGATTGTTCTTCAAAACAGGGCTGGTTATCATTTACGTCTAGAATATGTATCTCTATTCTGTGCACATTCATTGGATTGTTTAAAGCAGCTTGTATTTTGATGGAGCATTTATCCACATGAGGACAAAGCTCCTCTCTGTCTATCCTGTCAGAGACAAAAAGGTTCCCCGTGCGTAAATTCACATCAAAGTACGTCTTACTGAAACTCGATACGATGCGTAAATCTCTGGTCTCCAGATCCTGTATGTTCAGATTTAAATCCTTTGCAATGTTGCCCACTACTGTCCCTTTGTTCAGCTCCTCAGAAATCGAATAGGTTAACTGCGAGGCAGAGCAGTCACAAAGACAAAGCAGCGCGAGCAAAAAAATCCAGGCGGATCCGTCTCGACTCCCAAAAACCATCATATTTGATGTGGGATAGAAACATCAAGGTGCAGAATATTAATCCATAATGAAACTATTCCTTTTTTGGATATGATTGTATTTCCGGTTTCTGCCCTTCCTACACTGTAGTACAAACAAGAGTGAAGGAAACTGATGGCGGACGAAGTGTTATTCCTCTCTCTCCCTCCACATAGGATGGGTTGCGCAATAGCAAACTAGTTCAGTCTAACGGTCTCGAGCGACCTCTTGTGGTAACATTTAGATACTGTATCAATTTTTTTGCACTCATTAAAACTTTAACACATGCTGACCTCCTAATTACTTTGTCTTCTTCTTTCAGCTTTTCCCTCTTCTGGGTTCACCACAGCGAATCATTCTCCATCTCAGTCTGTCCTCTGACTTCACTCCAACTACCTACATGTTTTTAAATGCATCCATCTCCTCTTGGTCTTTTTCCTGGCAAATACATTTATAACATCCTTCTACTAACATACGCACTGTCCCTCCTCTGGACACGTCTGTAACATCTCAGTCTGGCCTCTCAAATTTTATCATCCATTCTTAAACCTATGTTGTACCTTTGATGATCTCATTCTTAATCCTATGAATCTTTATCACTCCTAGGAGAACAACAACATCTTCATTTCTGTTACTACAAGTTCTTTCTCATGGCATTTTATCAATGCCACTGAGTCCAGACGACACAATATAGCTGGTCTCACTGCTGTCTTGGGAACGTTTCCTTTGGCTTTTGCTGACACTTTTTATTACCCATTTAAATTTGGTATTTGGCTGTTAAACAACGTGCCACAACATAAAAAAAAAACTAAAGTATTTTAAGTGAAAAAAAGTTGTGCAATATCAGTAGCTCTTAAACTTATAATTTTAAGTACATAAATCATACAAGATAACAGGATCTTTTATTAAACAGCAATATATGTAAAGACTGAAATTTACCATTTGTAATGGTCAGAATTCAGTACCAAGGAGAGCGCTACAAAACAGGATATTGAAGCAAAGTGCATGTTTTTTCTATATTGTTTTGTGATAAAAGCAAAAATTACTTAAATAAATGTTTTCACACAATCTATATGTCTAAATAACAGTTAAAAGGTATGTTTCTCTCTGGTATTTTTTAGAAAAAATATAAGTAAAATAAAGAAAATTGAAGACATTTGAAATAAAATACCCATCCTAATAGTTCCATTAAACTAGCTTAAACATCTATACATTATGACTAAATCTGTTTGTATTGAAAAACCACTTTAAATCACAAAACCTATATATGTTTCTGATTTAAAGAAGGTGATTGTAGTCTGAAAAACGTTGATGCTGTTGTTTATGATGAAAATGTTTCATTGGCTGGAGTCAGCATGTGCACATAGTATAATGTTGTATCTTTTTCTGAAGCTCAAAGGTGAGGACCTTGGTGTCAATTAATATGCACAACTACAAAAAATACAGATACAAGTAAACCATCATGATAAAATACCCAACACCCTTTACTTAAAGACATGGAGATAGATGGTGCCTGGGCATGACTTGTAAAATCAAAAATAAAAAAGCAGGTACATATCAAACCAATCAATGAAGCACAATTGCAAAGAGAAAAAAATATATAATCAAAGTTCAATGTTGCACACGTCTTAAAGTAAACATTCAAAGCACAGATATCAATGGCTGCCTACCTTGTCAGAGTTAGGTAAAGTCTGAGTTC